CTATGTCTGCTGACAAATCCAGCATTGAGCCCCTTCCTACCACCTTGAGATCAGACGAGATCAAGCATGTTCAGGTTGCTATGGCTGTAGACCCACCACCCCTGTACCTACCACCCCATTCCAAACCAGCATCATTCTATCCTGAATTATGGTGATAGACTGTTAGCAGTTGCTTTGCTTTGGATTGTTCTCCTGAATTAGTGAGTCTCAGACAGCAGCACGCTTGACCCCTTCAGAAGGGAAGACACATCCTGCCTCTTTCCAATTTGAGCTCTTTCAGGAACCTTGGATTTCACTCAGTACAACTGTGTCAGGCTCTTGGACGACTCCCAGTGATCTGTGTCCTTGTGGCTTCTCTAACTCCATCCCATGATGACCCATTTGTTCACTGTGCTCCATCACACTGGGATTTGTGATTCTGCCTCACAGGTGGCAGTTGTTGCCACTGCTCAGACCTTGTGTATTTCCGTGTATTGCTCAGACCATGTGCATTTCCCTGTCTTCTCCCTAGAAAGCTGTTCTCCCAGATGTGTCTATGTCCTGCTTGTTTATTTTTTCCAGGCTTTGCTCCAGGTCATCCTTCTCAGTGAGCTTCTCTCACCACCCAATTTAGAACTGCAAGTCCCCATCCTGCTGTATTTTACTACATAACACTTCCCTGTAGGGTGGGTTCTATGCATTTCTGTTTTGTGGCTGTGTGTAGAGCATGTTTCTGTAATATATTATGTCTAAGTTTTATAAAATCCCATCTTTTATTTGCAATTGTGAAATATTTAGTGCTTCAAAGAAGGACAGACATATAGTAAGTACTAGAAGAATATTTGTTGAAAGAATGAATAAAAGAATAAAGAAATGAAGGCAGGACATGGTGACACAGGCCTGTAACCCTAGTTAGTAGGGTAGCTGTGATGGGATAATGGCAAGAGCTCAAGAGTTCAAGGTACCCTAGGCAACATGGAGAGACCCCCATATTCACTTAAATATGAATAAATAGACTGCATGTAGTGCCTTGTTTGTGTAGAGTCCAAGCAACTCAAATGATTGGGGTGGGAGAATGATTGAGCCCAGAAATTTAAGGCTGTGTTGCAACACTAAAGAATGATTGAGCCCAGAAATTTGAGGCTATGGTTGCAACACTAAACTCTAGACTGGGCAATAGAGTGAGACTCTGTACCAAAAAGGAAAAAATAGTACACAAGGTACTGATATGTCATTTTTTCGAATAGAAGAGGGAAATAAAAAGACCTGAGAGCTTACATGATTAAAATGTTGGGTGTAAATTTGAAGCTAAAGATTTTGTTGCCAGAAGTCCTGCTCTTTATTACAAGCTTATCTCATTATTTTTATATCATACAGATTCATATTTACATAAATCAAGATAATAAATAGGTAATATACAATAACAGATAATTAGACCTAACTTAGTTACATATTATATAAACTTATGTAGTAGAAATGATACAGCAGAATGTCTACTGTGTAACTGGTGTCCTGTAAACGTCCATTGCTCTTTTATGTCCTCTCTGTGTCTGTACATGTATGTCTGTCCACGTTTCCTCTTCTTCTAAGGATGCAGGCATATTGGGTTAGGATGCATCCTAAAAGGCCCATGTCACTTTGCCTTCCACACCCCAACATCCTTGTCCCTCTCACATGCAAAATACATGCAGTGCACAAAATCTCAGCATCCCCAATGTCCTAACCCATTCCAGCATCAAATCTAAGTCTAAAATCTCCTGTAAATATCTCCTAAGTCTTACAGAGGCATGAATGAGATTTGTATGATTCATTTGGAGGCAAAATTCCTCTCTAGCTGCTAACCTGTGAAACCAGACATGTTACCTGCTTTCAAAATGCACTGGTGGGACAGACATGGTATAGATCTTATCATTCCAAAGAAAGTAATTTGAAGCAAGAAAGAGGTCATGGAACCCCAGCAATTCACACAACCCAGCAGGGCCAATTCCATTAGATGTGAGGGCATAAGATTAACCATGGTCTCTGTTCTACTGGACAACTGGGGCAGCAGAGACCCTGACCTGCTCAAGGTCCTTTGATGCTTTACAAACATTTGATTACTTCCTTCCATAAAGCACCATTACACATATATTTGAAGTGTAGGATTTGGGAAAAAAATTGATTCTTGACCTGTGCACAAAATATATTTCCGTTTGTCTTGAGCCCA